GAAAGATACGACGTACAACGTCGGGGAGAAAGTATGGTTGTATGTACCATTTGTCAAAAAGGGAAAGAATTTGAAGCTATCACGGCCGTGGCGGGGACCATATACGATTGTGAAGAAAATTTCAGATGTGGTGTATCGAATCGAGAAAAATGCCAACAAAAGGAATAGGTTAGTAGTCTATTACAATCGTCTTAAACCGTGTTTTGAACGACCGTTGAAAAGTCTACCTAATCGACCACCAAACGAGACGAAACTGCAATCGAAAGAAACCACCGAAACGAGAAAAGAAAACGTGGAGAATTGTAGTGGCCAAACCCCGCAAACGGAACCCCCAACCAACGGAGGAAATGATGAGGATGAGTGGACAGTGAGGTATTTTAGAAGAAATTTGAGACAAAGTAGACCAAGTCGGGCAATTAACGGGGAGGAACCCGGACAAAATTTACCTGATGAGGTCCAAGAAGACAAGACGTACAACATTTACCTGACGAATTACAACAGGATGGGCCATTGAGTTCAATGGAACAGAATAATCAGAGAGACGGTAGCGACGAGACATTGCGAGAACCAGTAGAAGGAAACAAGGGACAGTCACAAGCCCCACCGGAAAGGCCAGCGCGAACGAGAAAAAAACCAGCGTGGTTACGGGACTATGAATAGCTTTAGCTATACATATATGTCGGACTGTACTGCATTTTTGCAGCTTAGTTATCTATTAAATTGTACTGCATTTTTGCAGCTTTGTTATCTATTAAAATTAGAGGGGAATAGTGTAGAGAATATAGAGACCGACGTTATAGAGACTGACGTTAGCAAATATAGGTGGCGTGGACGAGCGTTGATCGATAGTTTTAAATCCGAACACTACAGGAAAGTTGTAAGACTGTTAATATTAATATATCTTCAGAAATAAATTATTACAGTGTAAAATATGTGATCATGTTGAGAGTATGTAAATATGTATTCGATATGTTGGCGAATGTTTTGCATACCGCATACGTGCAGTCGAGGATTACGACTGCACATTTACAGTACCAAGCCGACTGTAGCATCTGTATGTGTAGTGTGTTGCCTATATTTTTGCCAACCTAAGATTTTGTTGTTTCGCTAAGAATTTTAGAATTTATAAGCAACTGTCTCACTTTTTATACTGTATAAATTTAATTCACTATCATTTTATATTAGGAGTCCTGTATTTATATGGCTATAATGTTCCGCATACAATCAAGCACGTGTAGTTACATTTACTTTTTGTTGTATAATATAGATAGTGTAGTTGTATGTACTAATTAGTCTGGTGATATATATATATAAGTTTTGTATTCATATATTGGTTACATTGCAGAATTTTAACTCTTGTTTACTTTTAGAAATGACTTCAACTTGCATACAACTCTAACCATAACGTTTGCACTTCCTCTGTTTGCAACAATTTACTTTTAAAAATATTTGCTGCACTTCAAGAGAGGAATACTTCAATTCAATTTAAGGAGTGTGGACTTGTTAGAACTATCCAAAATAATGAATCTCTTCTTGATGTATTTACTTGACAGTTGTACAGTATGTGAAAGCTGACAGCAACTATAATGTTCTCAAACAGAATGGATTTCTTTATGCAATTTATCGACATTATTGCCAAGCGAAAAGCTGTTTGAACACTGAACACACGTAGGACAAAACTTATGGGAACAGTGGAACATAAAATGTGAATGACTGGATATCGTTTTGCCTTTTGCTAACTATATTCTGAACCACTAGAACTATGCATGTATTGTGTAGTTTAAAGTAAATATGTATATGTCTAATAATTGTATGAAAAGTACTGTATACCCAACACATGCATTACAATGATGTTTGTGTGTATCAGTTTCTATGGTGGTTCTCCACTCCACAACTTATTCCTATCCATATTCAACTTTCTATTTTCCTCACAATGAAATCACAGTAGACACATGTACGCTATGGCGTACCTATTTTTTTCAAAGACATTATACAACCCAAAACGATACTTCATCGACGCATATATATCTCTTTATGTTTTTCAAATAGCAAATTTATACAAAAATATAGAGTATCCTTATTCATTTCGATGTTACTCGCCCTTAAAATATCCCATATTATCATAATCATTGCTTTTCTAATGGTGCCCTGAATGTTAAATCACCTTGCTCAACCTGAATATTATTAATCACCTTGCCCAACATGAATACTATTTAATCACCTTGTCCAATATTGTACCAAACACGCAGAGGGGATGCTAAAAATTGTCTAGTCAGCAAGTCTTGCCCGAACATGTCTTGCATATCATTATGATGTCATGTGCACATCCTCACTTGTATACTAATTACCTCATCCCTGTATGCATGAATACTAATTAACTCGCTCTTATTTATTTAAATAAACTCACTCTCATAATGATAATGGGCGCACTCTCATGCATGGTAATTAGTGGCTTAGTGCGCACTCTCACTCACTCTCAAAAGTAAAGCCTGAACGGTACCTACTGTACTACGGTCCAGACGTTTGGAGTTTGGTAAACAGAATCGGCTAAGTGAATATTAAGTTAATTGGCTGCTATACATATTCTCTTAAATTTACTCATTACTTATTGCTAAGTTCTAAGAATTTAACCTTCGTCCTTTTTTAGAACAAATTTATATTACCATTCTCGCGATTACCAACCACCTTCTAATACAATTTATCACACGTCGGGGAAATGTACCACCACTCCTAAAGTTGATCATATAGAAAGAATTGGTTTCAATACCTTTATTCGACCGTTCTGATCATAAGTCATCCTGCCACGTATGCTGTTCTGCATCATATCCAATATGTGCTGCTTTACCACAGATGGGGAGAGGGAAGATTTAACACACAGCATATCTACAAAATTGCAGGGTAGTAATAAGTGAGTGTAGTATCAAAAGGTTTTGGTAGTATTTGAGAAGTTCTTCCTCGCAAACAGCAATTCACAGTCTGCGTAAAGACTGTCCTTCCCCCAGTGGTGGGAGGATAACAATCTGCGATCAATGAACGTGTTTGCTGTACAGTGACGTTGCCGCATGGTTGTTAATTTTATTATCCAATCAAGTGCGTTGTTTTATTAATAGACATTATCCATTATGTAAATAAGGTGCATGGTCATTACTCGTTAGGCAATAAATAGAAATGCTAGACAAGGTCAAACAAAACAATACACGATATGTTAACTATCAAAGATGCTGTTTCGTGTGGCGATGTCTTGCCAACAACACCTAAAAATACAAGCCGTTTTAAAATTAGGCAAATTTACGCGAGTATAATTTAAAAACGAACCAATAAAAAACTGCCAACCAATTTCTGCCGGTAGCGCTGTAAGGCATTAGCGTTGATTGAAAGCAGACTGTTATCCTGTGAACCATGGGGGGAGCGGGATGCAGTAAGTAATGCGCAAAATGCACCAAATTTCAATTTAAGCCTAAAAATGCAGATAATCTATATTAACTCACAATTTAAAATTCCTGTACAAGTCCCCACAACGTTTGTTGTAGATTTTTACACAGTAACTTATAGACTCGACCGGTATAACTACATTATGAGGACTTAGAGACAATTGAGTCCCCACAATGTTTGGTACATTTTTACACAGTAACTTATACACTCGACCTGTATAACTACAATTAAGTCAATTAATAGTCAATTAAGTCCTCACAATGTTTGGTACATTTTTACACATTAACTTATACACTCGACCTATATAACGACTTCCTGTGCAAGTCACAACAACGTTTGGTAGATTTATTCAATCAATCTGTATAACGGTATAGGGGAATTTACCAATTTCTTGAACTCTTTGTACTTAAATTTGTTCCTGTGAAAAACGCAACAAATCGCGTAATTGTGCCAGTCAATGACCGTGACCTGCAACTTATTTCCAGGCTTGTTTTTAATAAATCAGTATTTAACTACCTGTCAATACTTTACACATCTTTGTGTTCAGCTTTGTGCTATGGAAGCAAGTTCTCAGGATACTTCAATACTTTAGTTTTGGTTCTAATGGGACACCCTGTGAAGAAAAACAATGTGCTCACTCATTGTGAAAGTGCACACATTAATTTCCATAAATATGAACAAAAAGATTTGGTGTAACTCCAAAGTGTGTGACATGCATCTAAATAACTTTTATTTGTTGCTGTTGTATAGTTTTATTTGCTGCTGTGTTTCAGTTCAAAAATCTTGTGCTTGAGTCTACAATCTACACCTTACAGTATTGGCTACAACTCCTGCCTCATGTTGATTTTTACAAGTTGCCTATGTTGGATTTCTACTTTGCTACTTCAGTACGTTGCGTGATATGTGACATGTACTCTTTCACTGGATTAAATTGTTTAAAATTGTGCTATTTGTTGAGTTCAAATATTAAAAAAATATTAATTAATAAGTATACTTTAAAATGTATACCTATTTTAACTCCTTGCACCCGTTCTTATATTTGACAACCAGGAGTTACGATTTGAGGGTTTAAATTCATGTGTGGAAGATTTCTACCGAAGTGTCAGTACGTAATGGTCATTTGCTGAACAATAGAAAAGCAAAAAAAGACAGAGTCCTTCACAAGAAAAGAAAAATATTCACCTCTTCAACTTAGGTAATAATATTTAAAAAATATAAAACTCTTTTTTTTCCGTGAAAACACTCCGCCCTTAGGGCGTTGTGCCTCCACACAATTTCTCGGTTTCCCAATTTTCACTTGTGTTTATATAACTCTTTATAAAATAACCTTGTAATAATGCCTGCGCTGATTGGTTGAAAAGCGAAAAATCCTGTGTTTCTATAACGCTATAGAGCACGGGAATTTTCCATGAACCTCAAAACAACACACTAAAACAAACGTTTTCGCCTGAAATATCAATTAAAAATCTTCATCAATCTGAAATTTTGTCAAACAAACAATGGAAAACACTTACCAAACGTTTTTTCGCTTTAAATTTTCTTCAACTTTTTCAGCGTGTTTTTTCCATAATTTTGCAGTTGGCAAAACTGAAAATTGATGTTGGTATTGTTGCTAGGCAACATTTTCTTGTTATTGTGTAATGAGAATATACTATTTAATCGCATTAAAAATATTGATTTTGAGTTATTATCATAAGATTATTTAATAAAGGAAATAGAAAACATGTTTTCCTGTATTTCTAAACAGTTATAGAAACACTTGTGCTAGATTGGGAGAACTCGAAATAATATCCCACTGATTATTTGTAGTTCTCCCAAACTAGCATGCGTGTCTCTATAAGTCTATAGAAACACGGAGAATGTTTTCTATTTCTTAAATATCAACACAGAAAAAATGTTTTAAATTTGTTAATTATAACATAGCACAAAGAAACTTTCCGACGTTCCGTTTGACATTGAGTTATATCAACACAGCGCTTAGTCAATTAGCATTCAGAATTTACAAATGCTATATTATAAAACTATTTATAATATAGCGTTTGTAAATTCGAAACCCTGATTGGTTAAGAGCCGTGTTGACACAACTCAATGTCAACACAGGAAATTTCCCGCCGCTTGTAAACACGGACATTTTTGTATTTTTAACCGTTTGACAGTGCTATATATTATAAAACAAGTATAGACATTTCCGTATTGATATACAGTTGTATATGTTACGTAGGTTCGTCAAATTGACGTGTTTTCTATGATAATGTTATGCCTACTCTTTTTTGTCCCCGAGCCGACGGCGCGAAGCGCCGTGCGAGGGTACTAATTCCCCCCAGCTGTTTACACCCGGGGAAACAAAAGCATTAGCGAAGTATAAAGTTCATCAAATATCGCGGGCGTGGCTCACCAACAATGTTTCGGTGGCTGGTCATCCTCACCGATCTCAAAAATATAGCGGAATGTCATGAATAGCGGACACTAATTGGTCCAATTTAAAGTTTGCATTATAATGACTGCATGATGACAGCGAAATAGCAAACAATCAAACATTTCTTGATTTGATGATTGATAAAGTTCTTGCAAATATATTTCATTTTTTGCTCGCATTTTTGCAAGATTTTGTAAATTTCAAAAGCTCTCTAAGAAAGAAACTGCGAAAGAATCGGCTAAAAGAAGGGAGCCGACGTTAACGAGGGTAAGTTTGTTTTAAATATTGATTTTATAATGGCTTTAAAACCCGACGGCCTTTGCGTATATGAAACAACTAAACAAGACAGCATATAATTTCAGTGTATCCTTAATATTGATTTCCTTTTTTATGATATTGAATTTTTTAAATAAAAAAGAAGCAAAGTTATTTGCAAGCGAGAATTTGAAATCATTTTATTGCAAACTCAAAGTCTATCGATAAAGCAATTTTAAAAGACAGATTAGTTTTATAAAGAACACTAGTGACTTTAAAACGTTTTGCGAAGCGTTTGTGGTTGAATTTTACCTTAAATTGAGGCTTATATTACTTATAATAACATACCTAACATATATATGTTGGGAAATTAATAATTTTGTAATTAAAAGTGATATTTTTAGGCGATTTTTAGAATATTCTTAAAAAAATATCGTGTTACCATGACAACTACTTTAGATACTTCATGTTCGGAAAATACAATGGTTTTGTCAGCAAGGCGAGGGTTCCTGCATGCATGTATTTTCTAGTCTGTATATATATTATCATCAAAATGAAGCATGTTGCCAATTGCATTGATTATTATCTTCCAAATAAATGGGAAGGCATATTGCAGATTCGCTCGTCTGTAGACATTAAACTTTGATTTTAAATTACCATAACTAGTTTGGATGTTGATTTTTTTCCGCAAGAATGGGCTTTGGGTGTTAATGGGTTTTTTCCACTCTTGCATGTCTGTGTTGGTATCATCTAAGAATTTAAATAGGTTCGCTAAATTTAGATGATTGCAATTTCCTTGCTCAAATTTAAATTTTATGCACTTTTTAAATTTTGTTCAGTGAATTACCACACAAAAAAATGTTCATAGGTTGCTATTTTTAGTTTATTCCCTAAATACTATCGTATATAGCATCTTGTCTATATAATATTAATCCTGCACAAAAGTTTGGAAATCGTGTCATTTGATCAAACTGGATAAAACAGCTTGGAAGTTGAAATACGATCCCCACATACTTTGTTCATATGCTGAAAATCTTATCGATTTAAGACTTTTTGCTTGGCTGTTTTAAACATCGTTTAATATCTGTGAATGTCAAGATCAAAGTGAAGGTCAAGGTCAAAAGCATGAAAGTCATTCAAGGTTAATGCGAGTAATGGACTTCAGCCCAAAATAAACTATCTTTAAGAAGCATTCTAAACAAAACTGATTTGATATACCTGTGTCTTCTTCTGATTCTTCTGATTCTCTTGGAGCGTCAAAATCTGTAAAATGTGAGATATTTGCGTGAGCACTATAAAAGATTGTACAGTTTACCGTTTCTCATAAAGTGAGTAACTGCGCATCCGCGGATCACCCACGAAAACACACTCATGATTTCAACCTGCACATTACATAATTACAATTTAATAATCTACTCAATTAAAATATATTACCTTCAAGCGTGATGTCTCGCAGGTTTATGCCCTTGAACTTGTGGGCCCTACCCTCATCTATGGCCAACAACAAATTGCCCACCACAGCCATCTCCAACATACTTTCTTGTAGTCGGTAAAATTCTCTGTGGACATTAATATCATGGCCAAGATGTCTCACCAGCCACCCAAGTTCATTTCCATCCATCTCCACCAACTGGGAAACGGTTGCAGCGTATTTTCTCAGGTTGTTGGATGTGATCACATCGGGTTGCTGAAGGTCAGCCATCCCACACACCTGACGGATAACATTGTTTCCTCTGATGGGATTCAACGACTTCCCATCCTTGGTGGCGAAGACGTAAATGTTGTCAGAATTGACGTTGCCCTTCTCGCGATTTGCCTCCAACACAACAATCGCCTCTTTGACAGCTGGTGTCAATAATACTGGTCCCTTTCTATTTCTCTTGCCAGTAATTTGAACCATATCAAACCTTATATATATATATATATATATATATATATATATATATAAGCAAGTCTATACCAGCAGGCAATATAGAAAAAAAAGGGAGAAAAATGACAGCTCAAAAATTGCTAAAGTTTTGCGAACGAGAAAACAGCTTCGTAAATTAGGTAACAAATTAAGTTTCTTAAATTGGGTAAAAAATCGCGTATTAATGTATTAGACCTTTCTATTACTTTCCTACCGTTTGCACAACAACTTTTCCGTAACTGAGAGGGAAGAAACAATCTCTTCGTTGTGCACTTTCTCCCACTCGGGCCTCGGGCGAAATGCCTTGGAAGTAATCCGAGATGCTTCACCGCCTATTTTAAACAAACGTTCTGATTAATCATTAAAACAGAGTAAAATAATCTCAATAAAACGGAGAAATGTAGGATTTTGGCAAGACAAAATCCAGTACTAATTTTGATCACAGCACAATCTTTTAAAATTTTTGTACTTTATTTGATATAAACATTTTCAAACATGCAAAAACAAACTTTCTTTATAAGTTTTAATTGGTAAAACGAGGAGTTTTATTACTTTATTATCATGTTAAAGATTACAATATATTTTACAAATATTTCTAATCTTAACCTCGTAATGCAGTTAACTCCGAAACGTCATCTATCAAATAGAAATTTAAAAAGCCTTATTCTTGTGGGGGCCGGTTTGTGCCACAGAAATTCATTCCATACATCGCATAACTATACTGTGCATTCAACAATACTTCGTCAATCGTGTGAAATACGAAATGCCACTTATTATCAAAAAGAATTAATTAAATATAACATACTTCTGCGTTTATTGAATATCATTAGCCTAGCCAAGGCTAAAACTGCCAACTTGCGCCAATTCTCTCGCATTGGATTCTCCCGTACTTCCTTTGTGAGAGTTTGTAACCCATCACGCAAGAACGTGCGTAGAGACTGCAAGTCTTTAGTTGCTGGTAATATCTGTGGCTTGTTGTGCTTTTTTGTGTTGAGCGATTGCAAAGCCTGCCTTGACACTTTGCCACTCCATTCGCCGTCATATAGTTCTTGGAACAAGTCCACGTCTGTTTTCATCTCCATGTTCTTTGCGCGCACCGCTTTGCCTTTTAGAGCAAAAACGGCTTTTCTAAGCGCAAACCCGCATTTGGTCGATGTTGACGGCGCACAAAAACGGTTTGACTTTGATGTTTCCGGCCCAGTATATCCCCCAAGAGATCTTGCGCCGGCAACAACATCATCGAAATATCCCGGGGATATCATCTCTTCAATGGACAAGTCGCCTTTTCCAGATAGTTCTCTGGTTTTGATCAGCAGGCGGGCAAGTAACCGCATTAGTTGACTCACCTCACCTGCCTTCTCATTCCCTCGCGTCTCTATTTCACTAGAGCCAATTAAAAGTATAGTATCATCGGAACGAGCGACGCTGCCAATTTCATCGACCGTCATCATTGACAGGACGTTATTCTTTAGTTGTTGACTAGCAGCAACAGGGAACTGGTTGGAGGCCAGCAGCAGCCTCCCGGCATTTTGCATTTTCTTTGTGCTCCCTTGCTGCAATTTTTTGCGCACGGACAATTCAGAGAATGACGCCAGAGGTCACTTCTCTGAAAAAATCCGTGGCAAAACTGGCAAGGGAGATAGTTCCGAGGATTTTTATCCTGATTTTTTGCTGGCCTCCTAACAACTTTTAGTTCACCCTGCTGCCGTTCGAGGACGTCCAGATTGTGATTAAAGTTCCCCATCCTTGTCAGCCGTTCTTGGAGAAGATGGCGGGAGTTTTTTTCTTTTGTGGCAAGGATTTTTTTACCACCTCCTCGTTCTTGTGGGCTTGCTCGAAGTGTCGAGCAAGCTTGGCATATTCCTTGCCACAAAAGAAACAACTGTTTTTCTTGTCATAAACTCTTTTCCCGCCAACTTCACTGGCTCCAATTATGTACACTAGGAGAAAGAAAAGAGGACGATTATATAGAATGTGTAAATATGATTAAATAAAGCTCATCTCAAAACCTTGTCTTTTTATTTCATTTAAAATATTGCCGGCTAATTATCCTGCAGTGTATGCTTTTGTCCCTACATTGGATGTATTATATTTTCTTTTATTATTTAGGTTTTATTATTTAAGGATTAGGCGTAATCACTAAAAATAAACTTTAATTTAAACACGATATTTTATAACTAACGATAATTAAGTTCAGAAGCGCACATTCCAATTTTGGGGGGGCGGGGGGAGGCGGTTATAAATTTTTGAGACTCTTTTCAAATTAAATTGGTACATCCATAGTTGCCAACTTTTGTAAAAAAAGCATCCGTGCATGAGATTTTCCTTCAGACATTTTAAAAATATGGAATCTCTAAATCATCGCAAATAGCATTTTTAGAGTTTGGTAATTTTTATGTTTTGATTCTTTATTTTTGGTTCAGTTTAGCGTTACTTTTTTTTCAGAATAAAAGAGTTAACTCTTAAAGCGACAAAGCCACCATATTCACAGCCCTTTGGTTATTTTCGTGTGCATGCCATTCAGTAATTGTGTTACCATTTTATGTTTCTTCGAAAACAGAAGAGGCTGTGTCAGTTTGTATTTTTTATTGCTTTGTTTTGTATTTACAACCATTCTTTTTCAGTTTTGATCACACTAAGGGGAGTCAAAATTGCTCAAAATGCCCTGACACATATTAAAGGTATTTATACCAAACACTATAGACCGACTAAGGCAACAATTAAGTCAAATGTTTAACTTTACCGACTATTGGATCATTTCTCAAATTTCTTAGGACTTCCCCCCATTCCCCTGGCTAAAGTTTCTGATGGTGTGAAACAGTATTTTGCCTATCTGATTCACTTTGGAATGGTCTTTGCAACAAAAATAAATATTCTGTTTGTGCTTTTCGACCAATATGGTGATTTGATAAAGAACATTGTAATAAAGAACATTAAAAAGTCTTACCTCCTTCTTTCGTATTCGGACCCTCAACATCACTTCCATCTAACACATCATATAATAATTAAGGTATGAAAATTCTGATTCATAATGATAATGATGGTGCTGAGAGAATAACTTCAAATTTCCTACTGGACTTGGAATATGTCGCCACACTTGCGACATTGCGTTATTAACTGCTATTACTTTATAAATACACACGATGCATGTTCCAATTTAAGTTTGGAACTTTTAAGATGTGAAAGTCCCAAGTTAACACATATAGCCTGAAACAATCATAGTAATACATCTTAATGTGAAGATGCACGATAATATATCTATATATATATATAATATCTATCAGTATATATATCTATCATATGTATATATATATCTATCAGTTTTCAGTCAACAGTAAATGAGTTGTCCGGTTTAAATCAGCATAGCCTACCTTTAAACACGTACTCGTCGTCATCATCCTCATCTTGGGATTAAAGAAAAATATTAATAAACCACCTTTATTGATTCTCTTTTATGTAACAATTGATAATTTCTACTACGTTATGAAAAAGAAAACAACTATTAATTTAGCTCTATTTAACTGTTAGCATTTATGCACTGTCCCGATGGGTGCTATCTCAGCCTGTTTCATCCATATATGTATCTTTAGGTGGTGACGAATCTGTCTTTTTATTTCATTTAAAATGTCGTTAATTATCCTGTGTATGCTTCTATCCCTACATTGGATGTATTATATTTTCTTTTATTATTTAAGTTATTTGTAAGGCCTAATCACTGACAGGTGCTAGCTCAGCCTGTTTCATTCGTATATGTATTTTTAGGTGGTGACTAATTTAGAACGCTTTTTACATATGTATGCTTCCTGCCGATCGAAACGTGGGAGTATAGGGGTAAGCAATACATCCATTAGTGCTGTTGATTGCTTTGCTAATACGGAGTTTTGATGACTAAAACGTGAAATAATTTTATTCATTTATTGAGGAAATTGTCGTTATATTTTTCTTTCAAAATCCAATTTTTTCTTCCAAACATAAATTATACCTTTTTTCATCCTCCTGTGTACGAAATAGTGTGATTTAGAATTTACTGATTGATTTTAAAACCCTTGTTGTTCTCTTTCAATTTCCAAATGTATTTCGAAAGTACGGTTTCGTTAGAGTCTTCTATGTCGAAAATATTTAGTATGGTTAGCGTACCACTCATTAGTTTTAAATGTGGTTGCTAAAAGCAACTTGCATGCTATCATGCCTACGTAGTGCTTAATGCTGCTTGTGACTGTTGCCTTACCGCTGTATCGTTGTCATGCTTAGCTTACGTAAGGAGAATTTGAATGTATACTCTTGCTGTCACAATTGCAATTATCATGCAGTTATCTTATTCTGGGGAGGGTTGTTCCTACACAGCCAGCCAGCTCTCACAGGTCACTTGTAAGTTGTTGTCAAGCCGATATCTGGATGTGTTCGCTCGGCTTATTGCCTTATTCCCAGTTGTTGACAAGTCTGGAACAAGTTGTTATCATCTTGTAACAAGGTTGATAAAGTCAACGGACTTGCAGGCTGTTCGTAACAAGTTGTTAACAAGTTGATAACAACAATCACATAGCAACTTGTTACGAACAGCCTGTATGAGTGTTGTTGGAACAAGTTGTTGCAAGTCTGTTGACTTTATCAACCTTGTTACAAGTTGATACCAACTTGTTCCAGACTCAGTCACGACAGCTGGGAACAAGCAATGCGAACGCATCCTGGTCGTGGCTTGACAACAGCCTTGTTACAACTTGTTATCAGACTTGTTGCAATTTGCGTGTTTTTGGCGGTGTATAATTATATGCGTGAGCATTGTGCTTATAGAGATGATAGACTCAACATGGAGCTATAGCTCACTTGTACTTGTGGTAAGATGGAAAATGCTTATAAATTATAGGCTTAAGAAATCACGGTGCCTATTCCTATGTTATTCCTATATGTGATTTCGTTTTAGCTACAGCTTGTGTCAGCCCGATAGGAATCGTCAGGTCATTGCTGCCATGCAACTGTGAAAATACAGGGATTTATATACTTCCTAGGATGTCGAAACATGAAAGGGTGGAGGTGAAACAATACTTTTGAGACTTTGTCTATATATTTAGAATTTGTTTTGAAGATGACGGTGGAAAATAATTTTATTTTTTGGTTCACTAAAGTACCCTTACATTTTTTCTACAGTGTGTCCCAAAAAAAATTGCATCCTTTTCATATTCAAATTAGCCATAACCTTTTGTAGTACTGATTTGACAGGACAAAGAACAGATTACCGTAACAGTTAATCAACTATCCTTTTTAAATCGACATACCTTTGAACGTGTATTCGTCGTCATCTTCGTCCATATTGTTAGCAGCCATATCTTCATCTTGGAATTAAATAGAAATAGAATAATAGAATAATAACAAATGATATTTCCTACTGCGGGTATGAAACAGGATGTATTGGTTTCCTGAGTAAAACAGAAAACTATATTACAGCTCGATCTATATAGTGTTAGCATCGTTTGTCTTCCATTGATTTATATGATAACAAAGACAAAGTTGACAACACACTGTACTAGCGGGCACTAGTTTGGTGAAATAGATATCGTTGGTCAGTTTCTATATAGTGAGTAAGAGACACCATATACAGATAATTTGAGTATAGTAACCTTTATATAATATATAGTAATTTCCTTCTTTTGGGGCCATAAATTCAACATATAATATATACAGCTAATTCAATAAAGGTTGTCCTTTACAAAACTCTAAACCTTAAACTCTAAGCACGCAAAGCCTAATGGGGCACAAGTTTCAGGCTTTGTAGTTAAATATTGCAACTTTTTAAAATGAATTGTTCTTTACTTCTCTTAGGGGAATATTTTCCATGTTCCTAAGAAATGGACCTCATACATGAGTTCTAAACTGTTTTAATCGTGCTCCCATATGCTTTGCACGCTTAGAGTTTAAGGTTTAAGGTTTTAGAGTTTAAGGTTTGCAAAGGACAACCTTTTTTGAATTAGCTGGATACCTTAAACTCTAAACCTTAAACCTTAAACTCTAAGCGCGCAAAGCCTAATTGGAGTACAAGTTTCGAGCTTTCAAGCCGATCGTATACTTTTTATACATATACATATACATATACACAGCAAATTCAAAATAGGTTGTTCTTCGAAAATCCCAAACCTTAAACTCTAAGCCTGCACAAAGTTATGGAGTTATGTGTAAGTTTTGTCAAAGAACAACCTTTTTTAAATTAGTCGAAGTATCAATAGCCGTTTAATAAATTTAATTTTTGGTTGCATGCCACAACCTTCGACAGAAATAAATTTTCTGGTGAAGGTTGCATGTCACAACCAAAAAATAAATTTATTTTCTGTTTATACTTCGATGTGGTAGATAAAATATTTATATGATTTTATTTATTATTTTAGTACAACTAAGTTAAAAGTAATTCACCACGCTCTTTTCAGTGTCTATTTCGGGTACGTAATCCTTGTCCCCACCACTTTCAATCTCACTTTCTTGATCATTTTCAGGTAGGGAATCGTCATCACTTCCATGATCAATCTTGGTCCCGCTGCGACATGCACCCTATAAGAAGCATTAGTAAGCATTTTTTCAAAGATAGATTAACTAAAATACTATTTCATTAAATATAATATAATCCATTCGAACTTAAAAGCTAGCTTTAGCCGTCAGACTCAATAATACTCAAGTATACTTGAATAAGCTGCTAGGAGTATCCCTTAATAGAGATTCCCGCTCCTCATTCCCCAATTCCCGTGGCCCGTTCCTTGTTATAGTAATAGCCATTACTCAGGTGCCGCATATTTTTTTAAAGTACTTCAGAGAAGATCCGCCTGAATTATTTTAGGTGCTATGAAAACAACGCTATCTATTTGCATTTTTTAAAGTTTGAACTGGCTACCTTTTCAAAGCAATCTGTGAAGCTTTTAACAGTGTAGTTTTTAAAAAATTGTATCTTTTAAACGCGTGAATACTGCTTATTGTAGTCCAGATTATCTAGATTCGTCTTTAGTGAGAAATTCGGACATCCTTGGAAGAAATACCCGGTACTCAAATTTTAATTTGCGTTGTATACATTCTAGCGCAAAACTGAAGGTGGCAAGACCTCTTCTGTGAGAACTACTGTTGGAACAAAATTGAGCATATATATATATAACCTGTAAGCTGAATGAGCAAGAAGCAACCCACATTGCACTGTTAATTAACGGCAGAAGTATAGCTTTAAGTTTTGCTTATGCACAGGAAGAAAAATGGCTTCGCCAATTTAATACTTGCAATTGAAGATACAGGCCAACCAACATCCAAGGCAAACTGTTAACTATGAAGACAACCTACAGGCAGCCCATGTGAGAACTAAACACTTTATTGATGCAGTGATGCTAAACACTTGATGGAATCATTATTCGGGCCTTTTTTCACAAGTCAGCCGGGTTTTTTTTTTACAAGTCGCGCCTTTCAGTCAAGCGTTGTAATGCCGGACAATTGGAATATATTGTCATGAACCATATAAACATAGATCCGATCGGAAATACAAGATACATGAGGGATCAATTTTCTAAATGTGTGTTTTGCTTTATGAAAGATATCTCCCAAGCTCTGCCAAACAAGTCCGAAAAGTTCTTGATTCATTATATTTGTTACCGATTGTGTAAATTAATTAGCATCAGGGCTGCAAATAAATATTTGACTTGACAGGACATTTGTCCGATCACTTTTAATTTTGGTCGGACATAACTTGAATTTGGTCGGACAAAAACCAACATCACTAAAATTGGTCGGACATATATATACATCACAAGATATATACAGGGTGTATAAAAAAAAGGAGACCTTTAGAAATCAACCATATTGTTAAAATTTGAATGCCTTTTCAATTGCACATACTGTATGCTGAACCGTAGTGCGTGAAAAAGGAGAATATATTAGAAAAAGGAGACCTTTAGAAATTGAAGTAACGTTTAAACAAAAGATTGTCTGCTCCTGGGAACAATCTGCCATGAATACTGTACGTAGATCGCATGTTACGCACTTGTGCGCTTAGCAAAGTGCTCCAGGATTCAAATTATAACAATGGTTGATTTCTAAAGGTCTCCTTTTTCTAATATATGCACTCATCAATATTTCACGCACCACGGTTCAGCATAATATATGTTCAATTGAAAAGGCATTCAAATTTTAACAATATGCTTGATTTCTAAAGGTCTCCTTTTTTTATACACCCTGTATAAGTCACAAGACAAGTATGTATGCCATTCCAAGTAAGATTAAATGCTAGAACGCCTCGTAAATTTTATTGCAAAATGACAATTGAGTGAATTTGCAATCGGATTTTATCACAGCAAAAAAATGTATAATGTGACTTTTTTGTGATCGGACCAATGTCCGATCAAAATTACTTTTGCTCGGACATTTGCCAAATTTAGTCGGACATTGTCCGATGACCGACAGTAATTTGCAGGCCTGTAGCATTATTAGCGGATTTAGCGTGTGGGTCGATGACTAAGCATATTGCTGTAAGCACTCCCTTCCACATCGCCCATGCATCCTTGACGTCATTGCATGCAAACACTATGTTTATGTAGACTATAAAAATAGAGAGATTGTTCTTAATAAACCAGATTCTATATACTGAGTGTGTTGAAGTGATTATTGGGGATCTCGGCCGGGCAATTGCAAAAACCGCTCTACGAGCTACAATATCAATTTGAATTATTATTTTATTGGACAAGTAGTTATTTCTTAAGTTGTTCTTGTTGATTAGATAGTTTTAAATTGCAAATTTGCTCTATAAAACACGCATTTGACATGCGTGACTCGTAAACAAGTTTTCCCGCCCAATTTAGCTTGGTAACATTTCAGCCCGGTTAACCGGGCCAGCCAGCTTGCCGGGCTCATGTAAACAACCCCTTAGTATAAACTTAGAAGCGGCTATTACGTGTCCAGCATTTTGATTAGCTACGCTACTATAATAGGCTAGTGATAGCCTACTATATTTACGTAATGAGTTAGATTGTATGGCGCTAATTTTGTGAGCTCCGTTTATTTTATATTTTTTTACTCAATATCCACATTTAATCTTATCCACATTTTAATATGTTGATACACGATGGTGATACCTATCTTTGGACCGGTTCCTTGGCCGACTTAAAGTGCTTTGTTGATGAAATTTTAAATCTTAAAGGGAAGTGGAGCTCTCCAGGAGGCGAAGCGAAGCTGTTTTGCGCTACAAAGCCTGACTTTGTTATTAAATGGTTTGGCTGGCGGTCCCAGAAACTTGTGATTCAAGTAGACAGTGCTGAGAACTTTTTAACACAGAAGTTTGAGAGCTTGGTGAACAAGAGTAAAGGAAACAAAGCTGATAGCAAGAATGGTACTGATGGAGTGATTGTTAGCGATGGCGATACAGCACATCCTGCTGTACTGGAGGTATGTAAATGTTCCTGCTCTGTCGATCTAGAGGGCTTGAAGCTTGAAATAACAATTTTAGAATCGCGATTATTTGCCGCAATTTCCAAAAATGAGCTTGAATCAGATATTGATCTGCTCAGAGTTAAACAGAAAGAATCGGAAGCCGCTATAAGACGCCAAGACGATGTGATTTGTACTCTTAACGAAGAGAATCAATTCCTTAAAGCAAGGCTGTTGGCTCTTGAAGAGTCGTTTCTCAAGATAACTTATAATGTCAATAAAGACAAAGAACCTGGCTTATCAGTTTACAAAGCTAAAAGTATTGACAAAGCGGCCGCTTTTCATGCCAGTGAACAATATAACAAAAGTAACCTCAGCTCAATTAACACTGAATTACGTAATACCTCTCATGACAATAGTCTTGCTCGGCATAATAACAACGGACAATGCAATGCCGATGATTTGAATAATAATCAAATTGATCTTGCAAATGATGATGCTGTGTTTTCCTCAAAACAGCAGAATGAAAATAATATACACAAAGGCATAAATTCGAACTTGCAATCCGAATCGCAGCAGTCAACCAACATAGAAGGGAATAAACTTAGATATGATCTGTCCCCAAAAACCTCTCATGACAATAGCCGTATTAGTTACGATCCATCTCTAAAAACCTCTCATGACAATAGCCTTATTCGGCATAATGACAACAGCCAATGCAATGCCGACGATTTGAAGAATAATCACATTGACCTTACAAATGATGATGCCGTGCTTTTCCCACAACAGCAGAATAAAAATAATAAACATAAAGGCTTAAATTCGAACTTGAAATCGGTATCGCAGCAGTCAATTAACAGCGAAAGGGAAAAAAACCAAATACAATCCGTCTCTAAAATCCTCTGTCCCGTGCCCTTTTCTCATACGCCGTGGTAGATGTT